TTTTATCGTGTCACATACTATTCCTAGAACAGTGGGTTAGGATACAGTGAACGAAGAGAAATTAAAAATCATTATTCAAATCTGGTTCTCAGTCTGGAAGAGAACATTTTGTCGTCTATGTGTCAGTCTATCAGCCACCACTAGCCAATGCATCACACATACATTTGATTTTTTTGACCAAAAAACCAAATGTGTGTGCGATGCATTGACAGCCAACGTGTTAAAGAGAGATAGAGGCTTTATTTTACGGGGTTAGATTCGCCGTGTCGAGCTGATAAAAGTTTAGCATTGTTTCCCCCAATTTTGAAAAGGATAGATTAGTAGTCTGGTAAGTTGAAACCGTTCTTGACTTTCTTTGAAACCAACTGTTTTATCTAAGTCTTTTCGGTGCTGGCAAGTATTTTTACGTTTTGATTTTGCTGAAGAGCAATCTCTATCTAGTTCAGTCGCACCGTAGCCCTCAGAATTCGAGTAAATAATCCTCCTAAATATCGTTCATTTTTGTCATCTGCTTCCGTTTGTATTTAGGACGAATCTTTTTCAATAAAGGATCTACAGACATCAGTATCCATTCATTATGAAAAACCAATTCTTGGTATTGAAAAAATATCAAATTCATCTGTCGAACAAAGTAATCTAGTTAGTGACACCCCGTTGCATGACAATGACGATAAAAGAACATTTTTACTTCAAATTGCTTCAGTTCCTGGTAGTCAAGCAAAAAAAATAGATTTTGAACAGTCAAGACCCAAACACGATGAATTAATGAATCGTTTGCTATCAAAATCTGATCCATCTCAGATAGATATTCTTGTCGATTTAGAAATAGAACATAAAGTACTTCTTGCATCTGGTTATAGTTTGACGCAAGAATGGGGTTTAGAACCTAATCTTTATTTACAAGTACGTTGCACTGAAGATAGAGCTAGGTCAGTGAGCGCTTTGTTTGGAACTGCGTTTAGTCAAGATGGAGTAGGAATTGTTACAGAAGAAGAAGTTAGTTTAAAGAATAAGAGTGATAGGCCTGATGATGTACACCGTTATATTAAAGTTAGCAGACGAGATCAGGAACCTATAAAAGATACCGAGGGTCATGAAATTATAAAAGCTGTTAAAGAAAAAATTAACTGTAGTTTTTCAGCTCAAGCGGATAAACTTCGTTATTCAGTTGTTTTTCATGATTATGAATGTAAAGAAGTATTGTGTCGATGCAAAGTAAAAGACATTTTACCAAAAATAGTTTATCGCATTAAGCAAGGTTATGAGAAAAGTGTTTTGTTGTGGAAACATGAATATAAACAAAGTTTGCTAGTGGAGAATAAGAATTATTTGAAAAGTTTAGTAACGTTGCTAGATTATCATAGAGATATTTTTAATACTTAAAAAAAGTATGTTTTATGACTGTTGCTTTTTTTGAACGGGAGCACGAACACTTCTCAAATCTATTTGTCCCATTGTGTATAAGTTTAAGTTATGAGGTTTTTTCTTAAGTTCATACTTTATTTCGTTATTGTATTATTAATATATTTGTTATTCATCAAGATTTTTAACTTTTTATGATTTTTTATATGATGAATTTTTTAGTAGGTGATCAAATGTTAGTACTTAATAAAAGTTTATACAAAATTGAGGGTGTGTACAATTTTTTTGTGTTTACTAATATTTTTGTTCGATTTTTTACTGGTTTTAAATCTTTGTCAAGTGTTGTCGTTGTATAGAACATAAAAACGACTTTTAGGATTCCCAGATCTTGGTCTAAGGGCGCCAAAGGGGGATTCGAAGAAAATTCTAGAAGTTGAACTCTACTGAGAGTGTTGTGTCGTATATTGTCCGATTCCTTGCGACTGCAACAGTCAAAAGGCAGATGTGCCGCATACGCAGATGAGCAAAATAGTGAAATAATCGCCGGTTCGGCGATTCTAACATATCGTGAGTTTATTTATTCTTATTTGATTATAAAAATGATGTTTACAGCAATTACATATTTCCTACTCTCATATTCAGTTAACTTGATAAATCGAAGACATTTCATTTAAAGAGAAAAACGGAAAATCGAAAATTACGAAACAGCGAAACGTCTTCTAAAAGAATTCTGCTCGAAAACGTTTTCGTTCGCCACATTTCATAGTAAGATTCCATTCTTCACTGTTCATAAAGTCACAATGCGCTTGCAGTAATATGCACGTTTTCGACGCGCTTTCAACAAACGCGCACGTACTCGTGGGAACGGCACCAACTCAGAATTTGGTCATGATTAATTTATACAATGAACCTTATAATGATTGAGAGAAAAATTTCCGTTAAGCAAACTTTCCGATAGCAAAAACGACGTTCCACTCTGGTCCGATATTTTGACATTCCTCGCGTCCGATTGCGTTTGAAACTTATTTGTTTTATTTGCACGCTTTTCATACGATCAAGCTTTTGACGTCTGCTAGGTATGAACTCTGAAGCATTACACGTATGAATTAGATTTCCAAAATTGGGTAGTGGACATAAGTCAGCATAGTCGTGGAACCAGCGAATTAAAACGGGGTATTAACATGTGCAAGTATTTGTCTATGATAACTGAACGGAAAATTAACTAAGCATGCATGACTGAAGAATCTTTTGAAATTGTAAAGAAAATTTTATGAAGTAAATTGACACATACATTTTAAAAAGCTTATCCTTGGATCTAAAGTGTAACTCCTCTATTCAAACGTGAAGGACTAAAGTGGGGCTGTGTGAAACCCATGCCTCGAGTGTGTACGTTTACATTAATTTGTTTTACTTGAATTAACATGTGTGCTTGTTGGTGCGTATGCATTATGCATTTCATACTCAACAATGTCATAAGACATATAATTGAACGCCATCGATTAATATACATTTACTTGCTTAAATTTGTCCGTTTACTTGTCCGCGTATACAATGTATATTCAGTATTGTCCGTGGGTCGCGTATGTCTGCAAGCGCTAGGGAGATGAAGGTATGGGTAACAGATTTCTTGGTCAACTAATGGAATGTTTACAGTTGATCAGCTTTGTATATCGTCGCAGAACATACTGTAGTATAAACATACTGTAGTATCTAAATTATATCCAACAGATCTTAAAAGTAAATAAACAGAGAAATACAAGTTACGATGGATAACAAATGGTGACAGAGAACTATCAGAGGATATTTCTATTGATTTAAGCTTTATTTAAATAAGAAAAAGTAAAAGTAAACAAAAAATCGTTATCATTCTAACGTAGAAGCGGCTGTAGCCATTATATCACTGTTAGAAATGATCAGAGTCGTAAAACATAGAACAACATTCGAGTTAAAAAAGAAAAGAGTAAACATATGTGAGAAGTGAGAGGAAGAAAAGGAAAAAATAAAAAATGTAAAGTAGACTAGGGAGCACAAGTTTGTTTGTTTTCCTGGCTTAATTATTCTCAAGATCCTCAAAGCGTTGAGAATCGATAATATATTCAATCAGAGATTTAGCAACAAGTAAATACGTACCTTTATCAAGCGATGCATTCAAGCATAGTAGATCCATACACGGGGTCTGCCGTTCAGCATCGATTTAAGTTCCTTATAGAGACGCTTTCTATATCGTGTGTAACGAGTACAATGGAGTAAAAAATGCTCTTTTGATTCAATGCTACCGCAAACACACAATTTAGTGTCTGATAGATTTTTTGTAAATAGATCAAAGTTTAATTGGGAAAATTCTGCTCTCAGCTGGTAATAAATAATATCAGCTTTACGTGGAGCATGATAAGTTCGATAGACAGGTAAGCGTGAATTATTATTTAGTTCAACTTTTAGAGATTTCAGAAAAAGGGAGAGATTTTGCGATTCTTTCACATCATGTTTTAAATTATATTTCTATTAATCAGCATCTGAATGATTTAATATTATAGCTTTTAATAACAACCAAACGAGTTCTCTTAAAAGGCTCTAACAGGAAAATTGAGTTTTCCAGTTGAATAGCCAATCATCGATACCAACACTGTTCTCTTTCTAGTTTTATTCGGAGATCAAACTTCTCAAATAAACCTTATAGCCTAAGCTATTAGCGTTAAGATTTGTTCTATGATATCGAAAAATGACAAGGCCTAGTTCTTCTGGCCGTAAAGATCTGGTCAAAATCATTGCCATTTTTCAAACAGTTTCCTATAATTTGGAGACTTTGTTGTAAGCTCAGTCGATAGAAAATTTTCCGCTCTACAAGACTATCAAGTTGGATTGTCGAAGAAGAAATTTCCACCACAGTAATGTCTAAAACATCAGCACATACTCTAGAGCAAACGATAGAGAATTTTGTCTTCTATCGAGCTGATCGATCTCAGAAGTTTCAGAAGTAGTCTTCGAGTTTAAAGCATGGTTAAAAGTATTTTGTTGCGATGTTTTTTCGAGTAATTAAAATATTTCGAGATTCTGAATAGAAACTTACGAGAGTACATATCCAATTGTCAAATTGCTAGAGACTTGAAACAGAGTGGACTATAGGTTATTTTTGGTGCTAAATCGAAATATCGACACGAGAGTGGCTGATATGGTCTCTGAGACCCGATTTTCTAGGAAACCAGGTTTTACACGGTCAAAAACTTTTTCCGTCCAAAATTTTTTTGGATTCGCTCATCTTGTAGAGAACACCAAACTACTTCTAAAACACTAGTTTTTTCTCTTTTGGATTGATTTTTGGTCGAATTGTAGGCTTAGTTTTGATTTTTGCCTAAGGCTTTTTCCGAAAAAAAGTAACCTTTCCTATTCTTCTTCTAAATTTTATATTATAACAACTTTAGTACAACAGCAACGTTTTATTATACCACATCATACTCATAACTAAACCCGAAAACTATCTCTATGGTATCCATCGTCTATTTCATGTCTCTCGTTCAACTTTCGGTATGCTCCTTCTGTCAGGTCAGAAGTCGACATTCTCTAGGTTCTTGCACGACAGATGCGTTTTCTTTAGCGCGAAGGAACCTCTATCCTTGCCTTTGGGCTATCTGTTGAGCAGTTAGATATTAGATTCGAGTTTCCGATATCAAAAACCTAGCTATGTTCTTTTATCTAGAGAAAGAAAAGGAAAGGTTACTTTTTGCTGAAAAAGCCTTAGGGAAAAATCAAAACTAAGCCTACAATTCGACCAAAAATCAATCCAAAAGAGAAAAAACTAGTGTTTTAGAAGTAGTTTGGGGTGCTCTACAAGATGAGCGAATCAAAAAGATTTTGGATCAAAGAATATTTTGACCATGGAAAACCTGGTTTTCTAGAAAATCGGGTCTCAAAACCCATATCAGCCACTCTGGTATCGATATTCGGATTTAGCACCAAAAATAACCTATAGTTCACTGTGTCTCAAGTCTCTAGCAGTTTGACAGTTGACAGTTCCCCTGTTAGTTTGAAATTTTTTTATTTTGAAAAGGGGGCATCTAATATTGAAATTTCTCTCACTCGATAGAAAAACTTCCCCATAGTCTAAAGGTTCGGACTTATGGGTTATTTTGAACGGAGATTCGAAAAATCGAATAGAATTGATTAGAAAAAATTCTATTTCTAAAGTATATTCTGTTTCCTGTTATATATGCTTGATTCTCTCGCGAGCCGTACCTTAAGAGTACATTTTTGCGGCTTTTTAGCAAGTTTTCAGAAAGCCATAAAGGAAAAAAAGCTGATTTTTGAATATTGTTGCTTTTTACTTGAAGTACGTTGTCTGAAGAATTTATTTCATTGCTCATGGACTTATCTCATTTAAACTTTATCTACTTGGCTCCAAATGTTTATTACAGATACTGGATACGCTCGAGTGTTTTTTGATTTAGTATTTTTGGGCGTTTTCTTCATAGCGATCACGATAAGTGATCCATAGGTCCTATACAAAGACTTGGAATCATTTGTACTTTCTTTCTCAGCCGAAGAGATTGTAAAAGGATAAATCGAAGAGCACTTGAACGTATTTAGTGTCTCTGATAAAAATTCGAAGCCGAATGGTTAAAGCTCAAACAAGATAAGTCCATCAGCAATGAAAAATCTGGTTTTCTAGAATATCCTACCACGCAACAGCTCTGGAGGTGCAAGTAAAAAATACGCCTATTTTATTTTTGAGAATAAACTCTGCATCTCTCTGAGATTTATTGTTACGATTCTGTAACAAGGTGGAAAATGAGGTGGACGGTACTCTTAAACTGTGCATCTTTTGATTAAAATGAGACTTAAATATATTACTTTAGTTAGAAAAGTTTAGCTTCTGAAGTAAAAAAAATACGCGTGCTTCTTCTACTAAATAAGTTATTTGAAAAATACATGGAGTCCGCTGAAGTAGTTTTTGAAAGTCAGACATGATGCGAGAGGTGAAAAACGAAGCATATTCATGAACGTGATGGATATGCTTCGTTATCCATAGAAATGCGTAGAAAGTTTTCGGTCATTTCTATTAAAATGTATATTGGGCTGTTTTCTTACTGTAGTATTTCTCAATTTTCAAAAACCAATGACATAATTTTACACTTTCACAGCTCGGATTACAAATGGCAAAAATAGTTTGTTAATTCAGTGGCATAGTTATCTAGTTAATGTAATAATAAAATATATTTGCTTTCTGACTTGCGCGCCAGGCACCTTCCTGCGGTATCATGCATTCAGCAAGTTCTCTTTTCAATTTTACCTCCTAATACTGTTTTAACTTTTAAAATGAAACAGAATTTATGAGTTTTTTTTCTATGATTATCATGGAACAAGAGTTTTTTTTTCTACGATTGTTAATAATTTTGTTCAGTTATCCTGCATCGCCTACAATCATTTCCAAACTAATCTTGCGTAATAAGAAGAATGAAGAAAATTATCGCCTTATAGTGTCCAGTTATTTTCGTAGACATCGTCAAAGACGGCATGTCGTGGCTCCCTCCGATCCATTAGATGCAGCTGTAAAAGAGATGGAGGGCAAATTGGGCTCTTTTGATAAGCTGGTGCTAAAATTCAGTAACTGGAGAGACGGAAAAGGATGGAATTGTAAGCAATGTTATTATGTTTATTGAGTCAACGGTTATAATATTACTTTTTTCTTAGTACGTTTAAGAGAAACAGCCGAGTCGATGTTAATGCCTACTGGACCATTTAAGTGTGACTCGAATGTGAATCCAGAATGTACAAATGGCATTGAAGCATCAAATATCCCAGGCCTCGATTCTCTGGAACAATTGCACGTACCACCAAAAGGTGACACTTCAGAGATAATTTTGGTCATTTTGGCGTTTATTATCATTATACCCGTTCTAATCATTATTGTGTGGAGAGTAATTCGGGCAAGAAAACATGGCAGACAAGCACGTGATGATGAGAGTGTAACATAGCCCGTTGTGCTGAACATTTGAGCGTAAACATGCGATTAATAATGGTTGAATTATGAAAATAATTGATATCTGAAGAAACTGGAAGACCTAAAAATGCGAAGTTCGCCGCTAAGTACTCAGCAATATGGTTCCCAACTGTTGTAGACTTCTCATGTATTACCTGAATCCAATATACGAGAGGGCAAGGTTTCGTATTTAAGTTGAGATATCAAAAGATTTTGCAGATAAATACAAAATCCCATCGTTTACGTACGAGATCTGTTCAGACCTTGTACAACAACATTCATTTGATTCCTCACGAACAATAGCGATAACTATTTATGTACGCCACATCGCCGAGAAGAAAGTGAAAAATCGTTAGCTTGTATGCGTCATTTTGCGGCCTTCTTGGGTCCGTAACAGCCATACTATCAGTGTATAGCTGGAACAAGTAGGACTTATTCTTTCTCGTTGAAAGGCTAGATCTTTTCGATCTGGTCTTCATCGTGATATGAAAATATCAAATCTGGATCTTTTGTTGAACACTCTGTTGTTACATTCAAATTATTAATCAGTGATTCCACAACATCCGCCTTTCATACTATCTGTATGGTTATTTTCTGAACAGCCATATAATATCCGTACTCATCTTGTTTATGTAATTTAAACTGAAATCCAAAGTATTCCATACATAATTTTAAAAACGAATATTCATTTTATTTACGATGGAAGTAATACATAAAATAATTCTGTTTAGATCGATTGACGTATATTATTTTCCGTTGCTACATAAGCTGTGGATAGGTGACATTTTTTGTTTTCAATTATTTTATGAATATTTTCAATTAAAACGGCAATTTGTGATATGATGGACTGGATGAGATTTTGGGGGTAAAAGATGTCCTTCCCTTCACTCTAACAAAAACCTCGTGTAATGTTTCTTGAAACCGTCTGTCGTTATAACGAGTGCGCGAGGATAAATGTCTCTCTACGTATTTTCTATTTTTCTCATATTTCTTTAGGATCATAAGGTTAGTGTTCTTTTTAAAAGATGCGCCGCGAAAAGACGCGTCCTCTATAGGACTGGATCTGAGAAACATCTCATAAATCCAAGGTTTGGAAGCTATTGACGTTTTTCTCGAAGCTTTAGGACTCCTCTGCCGTTAGGTTTGGGACTGTCAGAAATGAATATAAACAGAGGTTATCGACTATGCTGAATCTCATGGCAATGTTAGTTTTCAGAACAAACTGCAAGGACCGAGTGAAAACCTGTACTAGCTGAAATAACCCATTTTTTACTTTTTTCATCAAAAATTAGAAAATTCATAACCCAGTCAAAAATTATCCAACCTAGTTCAAAAAGTCAGGAAATACTCTCTTTTATCTGTAGTACACCGTAAAGCTCAATAAATGTTGAAAAAACCAACAGGAAATACTTTGGTTTTCCGAAATGTTTCACAGAAACCCTCGAAACTAAAAGGATATTTTTATTGATTTTGTAAAAACGTCCTAGGACTTGTCCGTTTTCCGAAGAAAAAGGAAGTTTGAAGTATAAAGTTTATATACGAAGATTTTTGTGGTTTCCAGCAGTTTGTTTTGTCAGTAGCTTCAGTAGCTGCGATGCTCTTCTTACTGTAGTGACAATTGCTTTTCCAAAAACGAGCTTCGCACACTAAATGTCCCCTGAGATTTTCGATTTTGTTTTTCCGAAATTTCCGTTAATACTCGGTGATTTTCTCACCGTTTTTTCCTCCAATGATGCACAGTATATGCCCAAATTTGTGGCTTGAAATATTTTGTCGTTCCTGAGAAAAAACACTTTCACTAGTAAAATGTCCCGTGAGATTAAAATGACAATATCATTATGAATAAAAAAGAGAATTTCAACTTATCATACACCATTCGATTCGCCGAAAGTTGAAATACTTTCTGAAATGCACGCAAAATTTTTGCCATACTCTTGACAGCTTCATGAACTTGGTCTCTCTTCTTACCTTTCCGGCGACTGTATTTTAGTGTTTGACATCACAATATTTTCATTCACGGTGTCATTTTCTACACTAAAATTATGAAATTATAGGTTATCGATGATAGTAATTTCAATACGATAGTCACAGCGACAATACTGTGTATTCCAAAAAAAGTCGGCTTGACTAGTTTTTAAAAGCGTTTGATAGGAAACTAATAGAGTCCTGCGTTTTTCACTAATCAAAAGCCAAGACGTGACTGAATCATTAGCGAGGTAACAGGGATAGGATGAAGATCAGAAAAATACAATAAGAGACCAAGAGGCAAGTCTTTGAGTGCATTTAGGGAACATTTCGAAATTCTTTACTCTCTCACTTTCTGCTTTACTTTTTTCCTTCTTTACTCTTTTACTCCTTTACCTCTTTACTGCTTTTAAACAGTCTTTTGTTAAAGCGGAAAACAGTAAAGAAGAAAAGGAATAAAAGAATAAAGAAGAAAAAAAGTAAAGGAGTAAAGCAGAAAGTAAGAGAGTAAAGAATTTTTATGCTTCCTTATGAAAATGCAAAAATGTTAATTCGATGGGTGGTCTGTCGTTTCGCAAAATCGATCTGTAAAGTAGGCCGACTGGTATTTAAAAATTTGTACCTATGGATAGGGACATAGGTTTTTAAAACTTTCCGACGCCAGCACGGAAGATGAGTTTCAGCGTGGACGAGATATCTACTCCACAAGCTGAGCGATATCTCACTTCGCAACTTCTAGTAAGTTAGATCCGTACCTTTCGGTATAGGGTGAAGATCAGAAAAATACAATAAACGAGACAAGTCTTTTGAATGCATCTATGAAAATGCAAAAATATTCATTCGATGAGTGATTCGCCATTGATTTCTAATATTAGGGCATATCGTCGGGGTATCATCTTTCACAAGTGCCTTGGTTTAGATTATACTCGTCATTTTGCTCAAAATATTATAGTCTACGTTTATAATATGCGTTATATCTAATCTAATCGTATTCCATTTTTTTTACACCACTCCACTGTACAAGTCTTTACGTGATTTGTTATTCCGTGTGGTGCGCAGATTCTTTCATACTCCGGACATGTGTAATCGCCGTTCAGATCACGGATCAGTATTTCTGTTACTTTGAGCGGGATAATGGTATTTATTGCTCTCCGAGTGCCCGGTCTGTCTTTATATTCCTGTATGCTGGTTTTAATGTTCCCGTCTACAGGTTTCACTTGTACCAACTTGTTGATTAATTCTCGCCATCGCTGACGATTCACTGTATCTCTTCGCCAATCTTTATTTGAAATGTCTCTAAATCATCGCTGACCTTATCATTCCATCTTTTTCGTACACCCGCATTTCTCGGTCGCCTAAAATTATGAATATATGTGAACATTATCTGCTTTACTAACCAGGGCTCATTATTTGCGTTTTCCATTCGGATGATATACCCAAATCATCTAAGTCTATTTCGTCTCATGATGTTTTCAAGATACGGTTGGTCAATAAGTTGCAAGAGTCTACCATTCGACATTCTACCACCTAAGCTGATCCCAGCGATGGTTCGTAAACATCTCATGTAAAGTGTATTCAGTCACCGTTCTTGGACCAAAGTGAACGATCAAACTTTAATGCTATATAGCAGAACTGGAATGATGCAGGCCAGACAAATTCCTAATTTTGCTTCAGGTTGTTTCGATTCTAGTCCGCTCATATTTACACCAACTACGAGCCGCTCAGATCTCACTGTGATACGAACCTGTTTGTTTCCATCAGCTTAATGAACAAAGTCAAAAAGAATCTACATATGTTAGTAAAAAAGCGACAATGTTCGCGAAAAAACTGTAAACAGTATTTACAAAAAACTAAACATACATGCTTCTTTAACTAGTAATGCAAAGAAATACGGCACTGTCGAACTTTGCTAAACCTTTTTAATGATTTTAAATGCACGAGTACAGCCTAGAAGAAAATACAAACTACGTTTTTTCCATTGACGTATGAGTATGTGGGGATGAATGAAAGTTATTTTCTCTGAATACGATTCACTCTATTCGCCAACAAATACTCAATGTTACCCGTTAAATATCAACATGCGGCCTGCTCATGAAGATATTTGATTTTTCCGTTAAATTCAATTTGAAAGAAAGATTTTTTCTTATTTTCATTCACTTTATTGAGTATTCTAATTTCCGAAAAGTCTATTTTATCCGTCTTACATTACTATTTGTCCAATGAAATAGTAATGTGCTCATTGTTTGAATAACTCAAAAACGAAAAGAGATTGAGAGTTACGATTTTCGCGATTCGAAAGAGGAGACTTGACCACATCTTTTCTTGGGAATCATTGTAAGACCAGGTCGTAGTTCAAAACTTAAAATAAGAACCTATTGATTTTTCTTCATAGATTGTTAGTCTACAGTGTCGTCTTTAAAATGGAAGACAAGTGAATTCTTGATTTTTTGTCGCTTAGGCTTGGTATCAGATTTGCCAGAAGCCCCAGGACTGGTATCTGATGATTATTGGTAACCTCGAAAACGCATGGATTGCATATAATCAGCCATGCTAAATTTTGTAGCAACATTGGCTTTTTTTAGCAGTTCCTAATGCTCAAATCTTGTTTAAAACAGAAAAATAAACGTGACACGTAAAGTGGATAAGTGCCGCCTAAAGCGATTGTCACTCATAAGTCTGTGCACCCTCTTAGAAAGTCATTTACCCCTTGTTACGAATCCAAAAGCCGCAGTTTGTGAGCAAAATTTGGCCCGTAAAGATTTTGTGACCTGTAGTCGAACTTATGGCTATATTTGAAAAAAAAATAAAAAAAAGATACAAAATAAAGGAAAGATTTGACCTGCATATCATGGTTTCTTTTCTTTTATGCCCCTTTCTTTTTTACTCTCCTTTTTTCCGTTATAAAAATTAAGGATCCTTGAAAGTGAAGCGATGAATCTCGTTTATGAATATTTAGATCAGAAAAACAGAAGAGATCAGAAAGTCAGAAAGTCACAAAATTTTTATACTAGAAGAACAGAAAGGCAGATGAAACAACAGTACAAGTATCCAAGGGAAGGAGCACGGCATGGTGCGATTGAATCAGAGGAGAAACTGAGAAGATCACAAATAAGTCAGAGGTATGTAGCATTAAAGGCAATTTGACTCGCGAACTAAATTTTTTATTTGAACAGGTCTCTCTTTGGACAACTGTTGTTAGAGTATCGTTACCTCTAAGCAATTTCACTGCTGATAGAAGAAAAACGAGCGAAGAACAAAATTGACTCGACTGGTATTTCAAAGAGAGTATGCTTGAAACAAATTATTCTTAAACATATAAATAATTCCAAAAACATGTAATGAGTAACATTCGTACTATACACAGTCAATTAAGAAATAAATGAGATCAAATATTTATAATTCGCTTAAAGTTCCAATATAGACAGTATTTTCAAGTGGTAATTGAATATTTATAGCTTCGCCTGGATATAATGCTTTTAATACTGAGTACAAATATAATGGCCATCGGCGTATCCATGACTTCCATCCTTTTGTAGATACATTCACAGTTTGATTTGAGATGAAAAATGTTACTTTCATTTCATCATCTGATATTGGAATTTGATACAAATTTCGTGCTAGTATTAGAACATCGTCATATAAATTTTTATCATTTTCTGAATAGCCAAATCTTGCCGTTATGTGATAAATAGATTCGCCATACAATTTAACAAGTAGACGTTGTTGTATACTAACAACAGGAATACGAGCATATTGAATTTGCAAAAATATAATTACTTGAGGTATACTATGCATTAATTCAATAAAATTTTCGAAGACGTACGGTGTTCGCTTATTATTATGTGTGATGAAACATCCAATGCCGGGGGTAATGCTCACCGCAAGAGCATTCTGTTCTATTTTGTTCATAGTGATTAGAGTTCCGTCTTTATTGCTTTTTGATATAATGGGTACATTTTGAACTAGAGCTATACGTGACTGCGACCGCTTAATAGATTGTTCGTGTTCATCATTATCCGAATCAGATGATGAATGTAAAACAATTTGTTCATGCTGGTCATCGAATGTGTTCGTTTGTGATACTGAAGCATCTGGACTAATACATATGGAATTTTGTCGTTGTATGTTTAAACCTAATCTCATTGGTAAATCATTGAGCAAAGTTGTTTGTGAATGATGATGCAGAAAATGTCTTAGACGCAGTTGACCGTAATACCAACAGAAACCTAGAAGAGAAAAAAGAACAGCTATCAAAATAGCTACCCAACCGCCAGTTGGAATTTTAAGGCTCAATGCTGCCCATGTGTATAAATCAATAATAAGAAATAAACTAAATGGTAAAATAAACCATATCGATTTTTGCCATGTCCATTTTAAGACACAAATAAACAAGACAGTGGTGATAATCATCACTGAACAAACTGTAACACCATAGGCATTGGTTATTCGGGCTGATGTTCGGAAACCAACTGTCACAATGATTGTCAGTATCATAAGAATGTAATTGATTGATGGTACATAAATTTGTCCAACCATTGTTTTTGATGTATGTATAATATTCATCGGGACACAAAAACCCATAGCGACAGCTTGACTAACTAAAGAGAACGAGCCAGAGATGATAGCTTGTGATGCTATAATTGTTGCCACTGTTGAAAGAACAACCATCGGCCAATGTGACCATGGTGGTACTGCATGGTAGAATGGATTATTAACATATTCTGGATGAACAATAAGCAAAGCACCTTGTCCCAGATAATTGAGTAGAACTGCAGGGAAAACAACAGCTATCCACGCAAATCGAATAGGCCATTTTCCGAAATGTCCCATATCGGCATACATGGCTTCCAGACCAGTTGCTGATAAAAAGACACCGCCAATTTGATAGAAGCCTGATTTTTTCTCACGTATTAAATGATGTAAAGCCTCCCACGGATTAAAAGCGCGTAGAATAACTGGCTTAGCTGACACGCGCCATACACCAATCATGAATATAACTAAAAACCAAACAGTCATGACAGGTCCAAAGGCGATTCCGATCTTTGCAGTGCCCCATCGTTGTGCCATGAACAGTAGAAAAACAATCACAACTGTGATGGGTACAGTATATTTTGCTAGACGTAATGCATCTAACACTAACCCTTCTATAGCCGATAAAACACTAACAGCTGGTGTAAGACAGCCGTCACCAATGATTAATGATGCAGCAACAATTGAAACAATAATAACAACTTTTTTTGCTTTTTGTCCTAATCTGCTTCGCTCACCTGTAAGCAGGCCACACAATGCAAAAGTTCCACCTTCACCTTGATTATCAGCCATCAAAATAAATATTGCATACTTAACCGACACAACAACGATCAAATTCCATATGATCAGTGAGATGGCACCAATACACTGATCTTCACTCGGTGGGGTATCAAAAATGGTACTTACGACATATAATGGTGATGTACCGCTAAACAAGAACAGATGTAGATTGTTTTGAGAGAACATGTGTCTATTCTTACATGTCACCAAAAACAATTCCTAAGGAGCGGAGTGTGAGCATCAAAAATAATGATAATTTTTTAGATAAAGTGACGTGTTCGTCATGTGACGTACGATTTGAGAGCGGTTGTCTGACTGGAATAGGATTACCATCGACCTGGTCAGGTTGATTAGTGTCGCTATTAGCAATAATAATATCACCTGCTTTACTCTCAAATGAGACATCATTGGACTTTTTTCGATCTAAACTTGAAAGTTAATCATCCCATGAACGATATATAAAATTGCGTATAAGAGTTTAACTTAGAGACGTCAATAATCTATACCTTGTTCCATAATCTTCTTTTCTTTAAAGAATTAGCAATAGATAGTATTTCACACGCTACTTTTTTTGTGTGCGTGAGTGTGCGAAATACAATATATATCACATGAAAAAAATGAAAAAATAAGAGTAGCCATAAGAAAATAGTTGAATAATAATAATAATCACGTACAAACAGGTATTATATCCAGACGAGTAAAGAACGATACATCCATTATCCAACCGTTTAACATATGATACCATTAGTAGCTCAACTTATTGAGTTTTTTTTCGCATACAGTGATTCAGGAACAACATTTCTTATCGATGACTTCAGATGTAAAGCAGCTGTCTTTTTATATGACGTCATATCAAAAGACAATTCAGGTGTGAAAGAAAACAAAAAAGATTATTACACAATTGTGCCCGCTAACCTTACTATTTGAAAAAACTTGAAACTGAACAAGATCAAATTATCTAAAACCTGGTAATTAATGTAATAAGTACTGCAATTACCATCTTGTTAAAAGGCGTTGATAGAAGCTAGCGGATGGTCTTCGTAAGAAAAGTTACACAAGAATTCTGATACTATCAGAACAGCATCTAACGCATTATTAATTCTCTCATCGGAATCGTCCAAGCCCCAAAAAAAACTCTAGTATCGCCCGATTCATCTAGATTACTAGATTTTTACCCGACTGCAACAATTGGGTAACGATAGTGGAAATCTACTATTAGTAGGTCTAGCGCGGTCTTGCAATCGCTCGATTAAATCGAGCGATTGCTAGACCGCGTATCGGGCACTTCTATACGTCTAGAAGAATTAATTAGTGAAAGAGTGAAATATTATACAGTATTTATTTTTTATTTTTTCTCACTGTAGCACAAATTATTTGCACCTTTTTTTCTAATAAAAGTTATTCAATAAAACATTAGCCTTGTACAAATATTATAAAGATCGTGCATCTCTAGTGATCCAATTTTCATTCGCTTTCTATTCTTGATTTGTCATTAACTCATTTTAAACCACTCCGAAAGTTTCCTGATTTCTAGAACCTGGATCTCCAAAATCTGATCTTTTGATACAAATAGACCATCATAGCTAGTCTGACATGAATGAAATCAACTGAAAACTTCTATAAAACCGAAAAACTTTGTATAAGCACATTTCAGGGGTACCACTGAAGGCGATGCCATCGTATCACCTTCAGTATCATCCTCACTGAGAGTAGTACAATCATATTGTATTATCCTCATAATCTGATTTAGTACAATTAGTCTTGAAACGAAATCATTTCAACGATTGAAATACGATGAGACGACGAATCGAAACCATCAATAAGTTAATGATTTTCATCATAGGAGCGGTGCTCTCTTATTTTTTGTCAATAGGTCATGTTTTTTATAGCTGGCTTAGTACGAGTTCTAAAAGAAAAAGCTCTCAAAGGAAGATTTTACTCTTTATCCTAAATATATATTGTTTTGTTCGAAATGTATATTTAATTTAATTTTTGTTTTTGTTTGTTTGTTAACTTGAATTGTGTGATTTTATTCAATATATCTCATAATCTGTTTTGCGAAAAAATAAACATAAACAAGCGTTATATATAGAACATAAAGCTTCAAGTAACGGCACACATATGGCATTTCTAATTATGACTGGTAATTAAGCCATATTGTCTAGAGATTTACTTAAATGTAACTTAGAGTTCATGATCCGCTAAATTCATCAGCACACATAGTTTTCAGTCGGCGTTTAATGGATTTTTTCATTTAGATTACTATAGTGGTTATGTACAGATCATTTCAATGTTTCATTTTCATCTTTTGATAGCTTTATTTGATCGACCACTATCGTCCTCTAATTTTTAAGAATTAAGTCCGTATTTTATTAATCAGTTTAGAACAAGAATAGTTGCAGCAGTACACTCTAAAAAAAAATGCGACTTAGGATCAAATTAAGTCGCATTAATGTGTCTTATTTTCACAGAATAAGGCACATTAATGCGACTTAATTTGATCCTAAGTCGCATTTTTTTTTAGAGTGCAACTATCGTGTATTTTATGACATATCACATATTTAATATTACTTAAGACAAGTTTGGTTTAAACTTTAATCTTGAACCAGAATGAAATCGAAAATGTAAATTCCCATTATATTATTCTGAAATTTATACTATTAAAACTCAGAACCAAGGTTATAAATCTCACTTTTCGATACAAAATATATATAAATCTCACTTTTCACAGTTATTGAAAAATTCTTTTATTTTAAATACCGTCCATTTTCCAAAATAACTTTTATTCAATTTGATCCTTGTTTTTTAAAATTATTTTTTTCACTCTTGTTTCTATCTTGATTCTATTCGACGTACTCGAAAACGAGCTTTTTCAATAAGTTTCTGTTTTCCAAGTCTTCTGTCTTTTCATCGAGTGAGTGTTTCCAGAATAATGTTTGCATGTTTTGTGAAACTAAGATTGGAAGCAGAGGAGTTGAATTAATATATTCATAACTTTAGCGATTTTTTGCTGATTTTTTACTCCTCTCTAGTAATGTTCTTAATAGCCCACAGTAATGTAGTAGTATTACGGGATTAGAACACTGATCTTACGGGAGCATAGTACTGATCTTAAGGCTTAGTATAATGCTCTTACAGAGTTACGGTAATGATCTTCTGAGACTAAGGTAACGGTCTTACAGGAGTTAATGATTTTCTTTTTATTTATTTCGAAAACCTAAAAATGAATAAATTTACATTCGTTGTACAAAGCCAATTTCAACAGAAATAATATAACTAAATCTGAGTTTTTATGCTTAAACGACAATCACAATTTTTTTCTTCATTAGTATTTACCTACCTACTCGGGACGTGTGCTTGAAAATTAATCAAACAGAACGAAAACAATGTTAGACTATTTTTTCTCAAGTACTACTTTAGCATAAAATAGGAGAAGTTTCTCAGTTTAGCCTCTTTAGGGGATAAGTATCCAGGAAAAAGCTTTTTCCTGGATACTTATGCAATTAAATTTTTTTCCAACGCGTAGACTTGTGGAGCAAACATTCCTGATCAAAATAAGACCTCAAAACAACTCTGTATAACCTTGTGTCAAAAATTTACACGCATTTTCCTATAAGTCCTAAAATTGAGCATTTTATACAGCGTTATCTCTACATAGAAGTTACACATGAAGTATATCCCAAGACTTTTTGATATACTTCAAGCTAGAGAATTCGGGTTTGTTTTATTTTAAACTAGACACCTAACTGACATGGACTTTTCAATTTGGTCCTAGATTCTTGTCAAATTGAGGAATTCTAGAAAACCAGGAAGTATTTTTCCAGTTTTTCAGGTTGTTGGTTGTCTACAAAATGAACAAAGGCTTAATTGAAAAATCGGCACGAAAATTAGTTAGATGTCCAGTTAAAAATAAATCAAATCCAAACTCTCTAGCCTGAAGTATATTAAAAAGTCTTGGGAAATACTTCAGGGTCGTTTTTGGACCTTGATCTCTGGAAAACTTCTAAACGGTAAGATTTGGAGACACCAAAAAAATTTTCATTCCCGTAACTCAGTGTGCCTGACATTTATGGAAAGTTTCATCAAGGAGGGATGTACGGTGTCGGAAATAATTTCTGAGGGGGAGGATTTAAATATAAAACGTTTATATGAGAACTTGTATGAAGTTGTATCTTACAATCTATCCAGTGTGGAAAGCTGATCTAACGCATAATATTATGTAGTATTGAATTCGTGATATAAACTCTTGTGAGACCATCTGTTAGTTTTTAAGTTGGGCTAAGGTACATTCTTATTTTTTCTATACGTTAGCATGCTGAGCGTATTTATCATAGATATAAATTTAACTAATTATCGCCGCTTTTATGTAAGATCATTATCATCTTTTCTTACAATAAAAACATTGGATAATATTTATTCAAACAACTATATTTACTATGTTTTATTATTAAACAATATAATTAGAACCATCTTATTCTTGTTTCAACAAGAAAAACAATTTAACTTTTCTTTCTCTTTACTGTAACTGCCCGTGTGATGATCTATGGTTGTTAATTTTGTTCAGGTTCTATATAACTCTCATATAGCAATAGACAAATGCTAGAAACAAATATGAGAGTAACTGTCTCACAAGGAGAATGACGGTCACACGCTAGATTGGTACTAACGCTGATAGATAAAATTCAGATTTTTATGTTATAGTAACTACTTCTTATAAATGTTCTTCAACAGTTTAATAGAGAATAAAGCAATGGAGTGTTGTTAGTCTTATTGTATGAATGTTTAAATACTATTTCAGGTCGTTTCTAAATTTTGCTATAAGATGATCGTTCAAACTTGACTAGGATTGTGCCATCAATTTAACAAATAAAGAGAATAAATGTCTCAATTTTTAAATAAACGATATTAATGAGAGGTATATAACTCTTCAACATAAAATAGGATACTTGATTTTCTCATAAAATTTGCCATTACTATTACTAATTTCAATGTCAAGTACTTACATCGAAGTACTCTTCGCATTTACTAATCTAAATGGTATAGAGGTCTCATTATTGTGTAAGAGAAGAAAAATCTTGGTGTTTTTTTTGTTGATGTTTGGCTTAAAATCGGTATTCTTCCTAAACAGTACGAATGCATTTTTGTGTACATGGTGCAATCGTACAATGTTTTTCTTTCTTTCATCATTGGCACTGAAGCATCCTTCTCTTTCTCTGTCGTTGTTCAACTGAGGTCAAGAGAGAAAGAGAGGGAGGAGAGAGAGAAAGTATATATATGCCTATCAACCTAACTATATAGCTTTCAAGATTTATTTGAATGAGAGATTTGATCAGATTTTAAAGTATGTCTGAGAAGAAGATAGTAGATAAACATCAGAGAAGTATGCCACTGTACATCTCAAGGTTTTATTTTGTTCTGACAAACGAAACAAATGTGTGATATAATTCAAAAGTTGAATTGTTAATGGATGGACATGTCATTTTTAACAAAATATATTATTATACAATCAATTGAAA